TAGACACCCACTAACTAATGGGATTGGAGGAGTTTTGAATTGATAAGCTATAATCTTAGTAAGTCAAAATATTTATTTATGTTGAATTTGGAGCATGAGTGATTTATTGTTAGGCTCTTACAATGACTTGTTCTGATTTACATTGATGTTAGAATGTCATTATTTTATATTATTTATTAATTTAATTGTTTAATTTTGAGTCCTACACCTCAATTTGCATCAAGGCCTACACCTCAACTCACATATATAAAATGTCTTAATAATCAATTGAACAAAATTTTGCTTTTAGTGATCTTTATTATAGATTAAATATTAAAGAGAATTAAACATATATTATAAATTAGCCAAACAAAAGAAATAAAAAAAAAAGATTTAACTCAAGTAAAGTGTATTAAAGATGAAAATAAAAAAAAGTGCTTTTCTTAGAGGAAGATATTCATTATAGGTGGGTGAGCTAATTTGATAAACTTTTCAATGAAGTTTCTGAAAATACGATCGACCTTAGTGTTCTTAATATCGTTAGTAATAATAAAATAATTTATTTTCACCGCCGCATTTGTAAAAAAGAAGTTGAGGAGGCTTAAAAAGAACCAATGGTGGAAAATCAATTTGACCTGATGAAATCTCAGTTGAAGTGTTGAAATATTTAGGAGATTTGGGAGTTTCTTGGCTTACTAAACCATTTAATATTATTTTAAAAACTAAAAAGATGCCTGAGAAGTGAAGGAAGAGTATTTTGATCCCATTTTTTAAGAATAAAAAGGACGCGTAAGTGTGTGCAAATTATAGAGGAATTAAGTTGACGTGTCATACTTTAAAATTATGCGAGATGGTAATTAAACATAAGTTAAGATGTGATACAAAAATTACTCATAATCGGTTTGGCTTTATGTCGGACAGATCTACTATGAAAGCTATACATTTATTAAAAGTATTGATGGACAAATACGGAGAAAATAAGGAAGATCTGCATATCTTTTTTATTGATTTAGAAAATGCTTACAATAAGGTTCCAAGAGAAGTCTTTTGGAGAGTTCTAGAGATTAAAGGCTTTGATGACTTATATTCAAGTCATTAAATATATAAAAGTTGTTACTTGTGTTCGAACATAAGGAGGATTGACTAAGTATTTTTTTATTTCTGTTGGATTACATCATAAATCAACTTTAAACCCATATCTTTTTGCTTTAGTTTTGTATGCTCTTAGCGGACATTTATAGTAGGATGTACCTTGGTGAATGCTTTTCGCTGATGATATCCTTCTTGTGGATAAGACTAGAGAAGAGTTAAGAAAAAACTTGAATTATGGAGGTCTAAACTGAAGTTTAAAGGCCTTCGCTTGAGTAGAACTAAAACTGAATACATGAAATGTAATTTTAGTATTAATAGCTTTAGTGGCAGATTTGTAACTATGGGTGATTAAATTATTAAAAGGTGTGAATGTTTTAGATATCTTGAGTCTATTGTTCAAAGTGATGGTAATATACAAGGGATGTTTTTAGTAGAATTCAAGTTGGTTGGTTGAAGTGGAGGAATGCGTTGAGCCTATTTTGTGATAGAAAAATACTGCTTAGATTGAAAGGTAAATTTTATAAGCAATGCTCTATGGTGCAAAATGTTGACCTTCAAAAGAGAAGCATAAAACAAAGTTAAGTGTTGCTGAGATGAGAATGCTTAGGTGGATGAGTTGCTTAACACTTAGAGACAAAATGCGAAATGATTTTATGTGTGATTTGGTTGGTGTAGCTCCAGTGATAGACAAAATTAGAGATTGGTTGGTGTAGCTCCAGTGATAGATAAAATTAGAGAGAGTCGTTTTAGATAGTTTGATTACATTAAACGTTGAACATCTAATGATCCAGTTAGGATAGTAGATGTTTTAGATTCACTGATGCTAAGAAAGGCAGAGGTAGACCTAAAAAGACTCGGGCTTATTGTATAAAAAATGGTCTTAATATATTAGAATTAAATAAAAATAAGACACCCAATTGGGCACAATGGAGAAAAATGATGCATTTGGCCGACTCCACTTAGTGGGATAAAGGTTTGTTTTTGTTGTTGTTGTTATTGTATTTAATTACACAATTTGAAATTTTGATGAGCTACATGAAATACTGTTCAAACCATTGCTGTCCATTTATTTATTTATTTTCTATTTTTGTGGAAATTTGAGCAAATTTATTCACAAACACACATCCCATATGTAAGGCTTTGAATCCATAACCTCTTAGTTGAAAGACTAAGTCTTCAACCAACAAGCTAATTTGACTTGCATTATTTTCCATTTTGTTATGGAGTAGATTTCTTTGCATTTATAGTTTCACCCAAGAAGATAAAGAAATCTTATAGAATCTTAGTCATGAGAATCACATTCACCATAGCAAATGATTTCAATGACATATATCATTATAGATAATTTTTCTTTTGTTATTTGACACGTTTCTTTTTTGATATAAGATATAATGCATTCATTTTAATAACGATCATGTAATTTTAATGGTGGGGTGGTGTGCAGATCATTTTGTGTAGAAGGCACTCTTGTTATTGTGATGGATGGTGGTGATATGACATGCTGATATGTTAAAGTTGAATGAAACTGGTGGTGCAACCAGGCGATGAATGGGGGAGGCACTTGCCAACCCAATATTTTTACTATACTCGTTGATATGATATAATACATTAAAAATTTTACCCCCTAAAAGTATATACTTAATAATAATTCAATATTAAATTTTATTGTATTTTAATAATAATATTTATAGGAGTCTTAAAAGTGGATCATTTTGTGTAGAAGGCACTCTTGTTATTTTGATGGATGGTGGTGATATGACATGCTGATATCTTAAAGTTGAATGAAACTGGTGGTGCAACCAGGCGATGAATGGGGGAGGCACTTGCCAACCCAATATTTTTACTATACTCGTTGATATGATATAATACATTAAAAATTTTACCCCCTAAAAATATATGCTTAATAATAATTCAATATTAAATTTTATTGTATTTTAATAATAATATTTATAGGAGTCTTAAAAGTTGTTTTAAGGAGCTGAAGTTAATTAATATAAAGCTTTTGTTATATTTCTTGAAAGCTTTCATGTGGTATCAGAATATTTAAGAGCGAGTGATTGGCACAGGTTCCAGATATGATTGACAATGCATACGTTATTGTAGAATTCAATAATGGTTCTCGTGGCATGCTTGATCTTTGTATGTTCGCCGAGGGGAGTAAAAATGAGCAAGAAATCTCTGTTGTTGGTGATACTGGGAAGGTCAGTTGCTTTCTATGAACATTTTTATTTAGGAAGATCTACATATATACTAATCAATTCTTATCTATTTACATATCCACCACCTAAACTTTAATTTTTATATTCATACCACCTTACCAATGCTGAAAGGTCCACATTGTTAAAGTTAAAATGGTGGTATTTTTTATGTGATCCTAAAGATTAGGGTTATATAAATGTAAAAATTAAAGTTTAGGTTTTGGATATGTAAATACATTGGAATTGGGTAGTATGTATGTAAATGCCCCTTTCATTTGTTTCTTAGAAACAAATTATTATTCAGGAGGATATTTAGCAATTGGAAAAAATTTTTGTCCGGACTCCGGACGTAGCTATACGTGCGGACTCCTAGTAATATACTGTCATGTATGCTATATTGGGCCTACCAAAAAAAATATTAAAGTAGAACCGCGGACTCCGCAATAACCTGAAAATAACCCCGGAATAACTTTCGCGGTGTTATTTCTAAGGTAACCAGAAATAACCTAGAAATAACACCGCAGATGTTATTCTGGGGTTATTTATGAGTTATTTCGTGGTTATTGAAGTGGAATATATGAGTTTCTCTTAAATAACCTCGAAATAACCCTGAAATAATCTCCGCAATATTATTTCAGAGTTATTTAAGTGGAACCGCGGATGTTGTTTCGGGGTTATTTTAGTGTTATTTTGAGGTTATTGAAGTGTAATATATGATTTTCTTTTTAATAACCCCAAAATAACATCCGCGGTTCCACTTCAATAACCCCGAAATAACTTCCACGATATAGCGCACGTGGCGACATATTATTGGAGTCCGCATGGAGAGCTTCGTAGGAGTCCGGACAAAAAATTTGTCCTTAGCTATTCATTGTCCCACTCCCATTGTCTAATGAAAGATTGCTAGTTTAGTTAGATATTCACAAGTGCATGTAATAACACCTTGGGGCATTTGCATACGTGTCACACAATTTTTTTATGTATTTACATATCTAACACTTCAACTTTCATATTTACATGCATAACAGCATAACACTTAAAACATCAACATCAAAATAAAAATATCGCCATTATTACATTTTTAAAAGTGAAATGCACCTTTTCATGTATAGATTCATGACAACAAAGTGTTATATAAGTGTAAATTTCAAACTTCATGTGTTAGATATGTAAATACATAGGATTTGAGTTGTAGGTATGTAAATCTTTAATATTATTTTATTCTGCTACTGACACCTGTATTAGGGAGAGGCATTTGTTCCCGAAAGTATTGTGCGAGTTGGAAGCAGATCTGACGGGAGAGCTGGAGTCAAAACATTGGAAGCTCAGGACAAAAGGATAAAGTACATATACTTTGAACTATTTTCTTTTTTAAGCAATATGCATAATTAATCATATTAATTTGTCCGTATAATTCTACCTGGAGAATCAACTATAAGCGGCAAAACAGCTGACAACATGAACTTTTTCTGGCTTTTTGTGTCATGTTTATCAGCCTTGTGACATTATGCAGCGCACAATTCTAATGTATTTACTTTATCTCACGGCTAAACTTTCATATTTACTTGCATAGCATTTAAATCTTTAATATCACATCAAAAATAGAACTATTGCCTCTTTTAAAAATGAAATGCAAATTTTCATGCATGTTTAAAACACCAGTGTTGCGAATGTAAATTTCCCTAAATATAGATGCATATATTCATATAATCATAAATGTGTATTAGAAAAAGAATAAAAAAAGATGTATATAACCATAAACGTATTAATACAAATATATGCAGTTTATACATATATATATATGTGCTGATATGCACATCTACACATAAGTCCACATCATGCGTATATATGGATATTTTTAGTCATACATGAACATATTCAAATTATTCTTAAGAAGCTTTACAAGCATGCCGCTCAATTCCTATGTATTTGCAATACTAAAACCTAAATTTGTATTTTTACATTTATGCCATCTTGTCTATGCATGAAAATATATATTTCACTTCATAAAAGTAAAAATGGTGGTATTTTTGTTGTGATATGAAAACTATGGGTGATATAAATGTAAGCAATTACTAATTAAAAATTGGGTGTTATGTATGTAAATGCCCCCTTATTCTTAAGCCGAACACGATCTAACAATGCCTTAACTGTTCATCTCATCGAATATACCGACTCAAGGAATTAACCGAACTCACGCTAATTATCGAGTCAAACATGAACAACCACATTACGATCACGTATTCATAATTGACACGTACTTGATGTTTAATTTACAGATTTTTATTTTCATTATTTTTTTTTCCCCTAAAACAGGTATGAAGGTCTGCATCATGGATCCAGCTATCTAGAGCACCTGGATTTCTTGGCTGCTGTTAAAGCTCAGAACAGCTCAAATGGTTCTCCTGCTGTTGACTTGAATGATGGTCTGTTCTCTGTAGCCATTGGTGTTGCTGGCCAGCTCTCCATTAAAGAAGGCCGTTTTGTAACGATTGCTGAGGTTTTATCTGATTATTGAAACAAATAAATTTACATAATTATTACAAATCATAAATGTTATTAATTAGGTTTAATTAAACAATCAATATTTAGGGAGTCACTTACATAGGATTCATTAAATCCTGTAAATCCGGATTTATGAAGTTCAGGGGCTCTTAAATCCATAAAAGGGTTTGATACAGTTCCGATTAAATCTAGTTAAATTCATTTGACATGTTTCAGAATTTCAGGATTTATCATCATATTTCAGGATTTAACAGTAGTTAGTTTAAATAGGATTTATCACACCTATTATATTTGCAGATCAAAAACAGCAAGAAAAAACATTAACTTAAACTTAAGTGACAGTAATAAAGATCACTGCGAGCCATATCTTTTGAAAAAAACTTTAAGCCAGTCATTAAAATCATCAAGCTGCATAGGAGGGTTGAAAAGACAAAGCAAAGTGAATCTGCAAGCCAAAATCAGCTAACCACAACTGTTTGTGATAGAAAAACACTTGAATGATTTACCACAGACATTATGAATGTCATAATTCTCTCTAAATATGTTCAGCGTATTGTCAAGACTCAAGAGATAATAAAATGTAATTTGCATGTATATCATCAATTCGTATATCTTTATATAGCAAAACCAAAACCTTACCATATAAAAAACCAAAATCTCATTTTTATTATTATAAACATGACTGCATTGATCTCTGCATTAATACCCAAATCTGCATTCAAATTGTTATCAGTCAAATTTAAAATGATAAATTTTTATTTGCAGATAAGCATCCTCGATCTTTTTTTCCTGTTTTTATCTAATTTTTTTTTTTTTTAATTTGTATCCCCGTATCAATATGGTATCAAACAATTCATGCCAATACTTCTTTGATGAAAATGCCAAGGAAAAAAGGAGTTAGCAGGGCAGGCTTTCGACAACAGACTGGTGAGTAAAACAACCACCATATCAAATGCCAGGTAAAGGGGTATGTATTTACATATCTAACAGCTCCACCTTTTTAAATTTATGCCGCCCAAATTTTTTATATCACATCAAATTAACCACAATTCGAACTTTTAGAGAGTGAAATACATATTTTCATGCATAGATAAGGTGGTATATATGTAAAAATTGAAATTTAGGTATTAGATATGTAAATATATATGAATCGAGTAGTACGTATGTAAATCTTTCACTTACATAATAGTTGATCCATACCTAAAAAGAAGCGTAGAGACCTCAAGGCACTGCATGCATGATTCCAATGTCGACATATTATCAGTCAACTGTTTATTTTCTCGAGCAAGACTGTTTCTATAATCTTTGAGCTTCTTTACTTGTCAGACTCTGTAATTTAACGGGTAATATCAGAAAAATAAGCATTAAAAAGTGTGAGCGATATTTTTGTGATCGTTAGGAATTTTTCCTCACTTGTTCTTAATACTTTTCACTTTATGGCTTGACAGATACGAATTAAAATAAGGGGCATTTACATGCATACCATGCAAATCTTATGTATTTACATATCTCAAATTTGAAATATTTTATGGCATTCAATGTCGTTCCCTCTCTTAAACGTAACTTCTGCTTCGTGAAGGCCATACAACATGACTTCAAATTAGTATTCTATATGATTTTATTACTTCTATCTTATTGAATGCATGAATGAACTCCTGCAATCATCTTATGAATTTCGTGTAGCGTTTTCTTATGCTTTCATGGCCTATATTGTTGGTTTATTTATGAATTTCATCTGCTTCTAGTATGACCAACTAGAATGTTAAAATATTTCATGAAGCTACAACCTTGAACTGTTGCGTAGTGGAAATGAAGTAACACTATATAAACACTTTACAATGCATTAAACTAAAAGTCCAATGATTTGGACATGTAAAATGGCAAAAATTGAAAGATTTGAGAAAGAAATGGTTCAAATTTACAAAATGAGTTTAACAAACACATGAAGAATTGTGAAATTTCATGCTGAATAGCAAAAACTAATATGAAACTTGAAAAAAACATAGAATTTTAAAATTTAATGGTGAATTTTACAATTCATATGGTAGCATAAAATGTTCATGGAGAAAATAAAGAATTCTCATGATAAAATTTTAGTTTAAGATGAGTTATACCTTACTTTGATGTTGACTTCCTTAACTTGGGGATCTTCCTTGCCTTCCTCCTTGCTCCTTGTTCATGGCTTGAAGAAGAATTGATGAGAGAGGCTCCCGGTTTGCCTTGGGGTAGGGAGAAGAAGGCTCAGTTTTTACTTGGAAGAGAGGAATGGAGAGGGATAGAGGAGAGGGAACCAAAATGGGAAAAAGTGGGGTGTTGGGGTCACAAGTTGGGGAGATAATGGGGGGAAAAATTTAGGGGGAAAAGGATTTAGGAAGTGTATGGCTAAGATTAGAGAGGGAGTTAACATTTTTGAAATGAAAAGTGGGGATTTGAGATTATGTGGAGCAAAGAGAGAGAGGAGTGGGGCGCGAGACACATAGATTATTGGGGTAGCAGCATGGGGATTGATGAGATAGCATAATAAGGAGGTTTAGATGGGGAGAGTATGGAAGGTGGAGATTCAAAGGGTAGGATTGTTTTGCAAAGAAGATGGACATTTTAGTAATTTGTTGAGGGCAGTTATGGAAAAATATAAGTATAGCTCATCTTGAAGAGGATTAGACAAGGAATCTAATGGTTCAAACCATTTAAAAAAAAAGAATTCTCTAGCTCAAGATATATGTGTTTAAAGTGGCTTAAGTAATTGGAGAGGTGGTTACAAGGTGGTTGGGAGTTAATAATGACCATAAATTGACTTCGGCTTATTTGATAGATAAAAATATAAGAAATTCAATGGTTCAAGTGTTTTTGGCTAATTGAAGCTCTATAAAATGATATGATCAGGCAAAGTAGGCACAAACCCTTAGGAGAGATAAAATCATAAATTTTGAGCAAAAACTTTAATTCTATTTTAATCAACAAAATTATATATTTTTGAAGTTAAAATAACTTTAGTTAAAGTCCAAGAATGATTTGAAGTCATTTTGAGGTAGTTATGGTCAAATTAATATTTTTCTCTCTTCTGATTATCGTCGGCTCAACAGACCTCCAAATAGAGTCTGATTTAAGTGTGGAAGGACTTATTTGAATGTTTTAAATGATACAAACTCAATGGTAAATTCCATTTTCAAAAGTAATGACTCATTGAAATTTTTTTAGGTAGGACCACTTTTTCATACATGGGAGCCTTAAGTGCATAATTTTATGTAAAAATGGTGTTTGATGACCATCAAACTAGTTTGCATTGTTTTCATATGTGATTTTGAAGATCACGTACCTTTCAAAATATAATTTGAATCACTGGATTGATCTGTGGAACAAAATGATAATTTTAAGATTTATAATGACAATCATCATACATAAAAATTTTGCTTGAAGAATTTTATATAAAAAAAAATAATTACAAAGGATCATCGAACTTATTTTCATGATATTTATAAGTGATAAAAAAGCCTCATGCATCTTTCAAAATGAGCATTTGAGTCCTACAATCATCGCGGCAGAGAAAGGGATAATCCCAGAGTTTCAGTGATTAAAGTTGTTATTAGAGTTATCTTTGAGTTTGGTTAAAATTTTGTGTGTTTGAATATAAGTTAGGGTTCCCTCAAGATAAAGTTTCAAGTGAAATCAAGTTAAGCTTAAGCTAGGAAAATATGATTTACCAAAAATGAGGTCAACAAATGGACCCTCAATATGTGAGATGGGCTATTCAAAGTACGATGCACAATTTGGTGTTGACCGATAAAAATCAACAAATTAAAGGGGTGAAAAGATTGTTGTTCAACATCAGAGTTTTTATTTCAAGGTTTAATCTGATTTAAAATCAAAAGATTTTGAAGTTCTTCATAATTGAAGATTTTAGGGAAGTTGGTTTAAAATTTCAAAGTTTAAAACGATATCATTGTTAGCATCATTTTTTTTATTTTTGATGTCATGTATGTCCCAGTCTCTCTCTCTCCATACTTGGAGTCGTTTTTCTGGGGTTATAGCCTCTCTCCGTACTAGGAGTTTCGTTCATATTATTGTGACCTGGTTCTCTTCCTTCGAGTCACAGTTGAGTCTTTTGTGAGACCTTGGTTTTCAGTCTATGTGTCAGTTGCTAGGGGTAGCAACTCGATGCATTTTGTCCCTTTCTCACCCTCGACAGTTCGGTTGCTGCATTATCGCATGCATCGATGTCGTTGTATTTTTTTGATTGATTTCATAACCTTTTTCAGTTTCCGATCATTGTCCATTTTTGCCCCGCTACGCGGAAGAGCAGGAAGATGGATATGATCGCTACCGCTGGGGGAACCCTTTCCCTTCTCCCAGAGCGCTTTCTGTGCTCTTGAGGGTGTCATAACCTTCAGTTCCTTCGAGCACCCATGTGGGATTACCTTACGCGATCCTACGCCCTCTGAGGTGTTCGCTCT